CATCAAAGGAAATCATCCAAGCTGAAATGGGGAAACATCTAAAACCTCCAGGACAGCAGCCCCTAAGGACCAACTTTGGACAACTCTGCATTAGTGTAGACACTTAAACTAATACTTTGCTGAAGCATCTTTTGATTTGACTTCTGCTTTTAGCCTTCTTTGGATGTTGTCTGTTAACATCTTACATAGGGGACTAAAAATATTTACTCACTCTGTCTTGCAAAAGTTATAGTAATCTATCAGACTTTGTAATCTATCAGAGAACCAGATGTTCTCTTGCCCACGGCTTTCCTTAAGTAATCCTACAAATCTGTGAAATTGGTTCCGAACTCCAGCTCAACCATTCCAAGATGTTAATTCTCTGTCATGAAGTCAACTTTTGTTGATTTGGATTGATGTCTGCACTCTAATGCTGAAGGAAGACATTTCCCTTCATTTTTTAAGTGGTGGTATATGAAGAATCAAAACTTTGTCTTCAACTTCTTTGCCCCAAAAAAATAAGCTAAATTTGAAGAAAACACACACCAAATATGCACAATCATACATATAAGGAATTTGTTTTATGGTGTCTTCATCTATGCAACCTATGGGAGGCTATGGGAGATTTTTATTTTGTACCAGGATTTTCTTATAACAAAGTTTTTTGTTTCTTCCTTTCCCTTAGTACAGGATGTAGTATATGTATGTGTGGAAAAACCTTTTTGATTATTTATGAAGCTAACCGCTTCTACAGACAGATACCCAATATGGTAACAGTGGTGCTCAGCTTTCGATGGCATTTTATCTTCATATTGTGTTCTCAGCATGTTTTGCATGTTTTCACAATGCTGTATGTGATGCTTTTGATACCGTACTTTTTTATAATCTCTTTGTCCTGTAGTACTTCATGTGATAGGCGCTGTGATAATACAAGTGTTGCACTGATACAGTAATGGGTAGGGCCCCTATACTGCACTTTAATGGTGGTATCGGTATCGGCAAGTACCAACAAAGGCAACAGCTTGACAAAGCCATGATGGCAATTATTTTACAGTGGTATGCATTTCTTCATATATACACACACACAAATCCATTTCAAACAGATGATATCGGTATGGTATCAGCTGATACTGCAAAGCCAGGTATTGGGTATCAGTATCTGGGCCAAAAAATGGCATTGGCACAACACTAATAATTACTCAGCAATTTAAAGGAAGGAGGTAAGAAAGTAAACCCTAATGATTATTTTAATAGTTTTTAACATGAGAACTGAAGGTGACATGGTGAAACTGGTACTATTGGAAGTAGCACAAAGTTGACCTTCTATCAAGGGTGGTATTTAAGTTGTAAACACAAGCCTGAGAGGGTCTGCACTATCAATACCTTCAAGTGATAACTGCTCTTATGCAGCATGATCAACTGCATATGCTGCAGAGATTGCATGTGATATTGAATGAGAATAGATTTGGTTTTTATTCAGGGCATGGTTGTAACAGAGGTTAGATGATGCAACAAAGCAGTGCAGGGAGTTTCATCATATTAGCTCATTCACATTAGGAAGAGTTACAGGGAAACCTTACAGCTTGAGTTGTCTCTATAATAAGCCCCGAGGCTGCTGTTTGAAACATCTAGCAAGACTGTGGATTTGTTTTTGATACTGTATAATTACCTACCATCACAGGAGATATAACGAAATATTAAACTGAGGTGACAAGTAAACTTACCATTTAAAATTCTAAATTGTGGATTTAAGTCCTTTAATTCATACCTTCATGATGTTGTTTTTTTGTTGGGGTTTTTTTTTTTGCTATTTCTGCACTTTAACTTAATGGCATTTTTTTTTTTTTTGTTTTTTTTTTTGCTATTTCTGCACTTTAACTTAATGGCATTCTATCCAATGACTTCTAAATTACTGTTAAAATGTATCAACTGCAACTCAACAGCTTTGCCTTGAATTATTTTACAAAGGCTATAACTCTTCAAATTCTATTGATACAACAAATATCTTAATTCTGCATACTGCATTACCAAATGAACTTTAGAATGAACTAAATTACCTTTAGTGGTTTAGAATAGCAAGTTGAAATAGATAACATAAACAGAATAAATTCCACATAAACCTATTATTCTCACTTTCTGACATCAGACACCTCAAGGCCTGTTTGATTTGCCAAATTTGTTTGCTAAAATCCCCAAAAATTCATTTAATTAAGATTTTCCTATTACTTTCCTAACTGTGGCTTCAGAAAAGTAAGAAAGCAAAGATGAAGATGTTGCTGCATTTGAGAGCTTCTGTCAATTTGAGACTAAGGGTGAACATTTAGCTTTTCCAACTATTATTTAAAGGTAAACAACACATGTAAATTTAAGGAAGGAAAAGAGCTTGATGTCCTGAAAATCTTTCTTGCAAATCAACCTGCTTGGTAAAAATGTTACCTGTTAGCTGATAGGGGAGATCGATCCATCCATCCATCCATCCATCCATCCATCC